ATCGTCAGTTTTAGAAAGGTCCGGTCAAATGACCTGCTTTTAGATCTCCTGTGAATAAGTCCTGAAAAGTACAAGAATCGACGACAGATAACATCAGGCCTATTCTTCAGCGACGACGTCACGATGAAATGATATGATAAGGCTTTCCGTATGTTGCTATTGAAAGTTTGTGTAATTTCTTATTCATAACGCAGGACGATCTGCCCGCTCTTCATAATGCTGACGATGTACATCTTCTACAAGGGGGTCTACAAACTGCTGGCACGCCTCAACCCGGGAAGGGCGTCAGGACGAGATGGCATCCTATGGCGAGTGCTGAAGAGCTGGCCACAGCTTCGCCCTGTTCACAAAATTCCTAGTCACTGGACCAATCCATATCGTCTGGAAACTTGTTCTAGTCCAGCCAATGTTCAGGAAGGAAGACCGCTGCCAGGCCGCCATCTAACGTCTTATCTGTCTCACCTGCATCTACAGCAAAATGCTGGAGCACGTATACGATCTACGCTAACGACGCACCTGGAGGCAAACAAGATTCTCTCCGACTCAATTGCATGGCTTCCTCAAGAACTTGTAATGCGTCACCGTGTTGATTCAGAAATTGGTGATCTTGTCGAGATCGACCAGGCTGGCTAGAGGGACGTCATCTTGCTTGAGTTGTCAAAAGCATTCGATAAGGTGCCTCAACAGCGACTACTAGTGTAGCTGGAATTCTTTGATATCCGAGGTAGTGTCAAGCTATGGATCGTCAAATTCCTTCGAGGGGAATGCTGAGCAGATGGTCGTGGAGGGGGAAAAGTCCTGTTTAGGCCCAGTACTCTCAGATGTCCTATAAGACTCAGTGCTCGGACTAGCCTTATTTCTAACACATAAATCACCTCGGCGAAGGAATCAACACCTGATTTTTTTAGATCGGTCAGAGTCAGAATTTTTGCCGCTCCTGTACACCAAAATCAGATCCCGGCTTGACGCGCCACTTCTGCAAAGCGACTTGGACAGGCTAGAGGAGTGGAAGCAGAAATGGCAAATGGCCTACTACGTTTACAAATTCCATCTGCTGTTACTCACCAAGAAGAGGAGCAGAATACCCACTAGCTACTCGCTCCATAGACAAGCGCTGAAACAAGTCACCAGCGCCTTACCTCGGCGTTGCAATATCAGAAACCCTATCTTGTGAAACGCGTCTAAGCAACTTCAGACGTAGCCAACCGGATCTGTGCGGTTACTTGCTGAAATCTAAAGGGGTGACCAACAAAAATGCTAGCTCGACATCGTCCAAACATTGCTGGACTGTGCATCGGCGGTCTGGGATCCGCGTCAACAGCACCTGAAACCACCCCTGAGATGGTGAAACGAAGAGCAGCCCCACAGAATCTTAGGTTCCTTTATCCCCACGTCAAGTGCTGCAGAGATACATAGATTGATAAATCAAGTGCCAGGCTCGAGTTGGCCCAGCTGCAGCTGGAGAGAACGACTAACACAGCATGAATACTAAGCATAATGCTGCATCGGATAGTTGATGTCCCACCTCCATCAAGTCTGAGTCGACAAGCAACACGCGTCAAAAAGGGCGCCAACAGAAGCTGCAGGCCCCGCGTAGCAGAACCGATGTTCACCAGCACTTCTCCACTGCCGCCAGAATATGGAACCCCTTGAATGCTGACATGGTAGCAGCCACATCCCTACCACTTTCCAGCCTGCTGCACAAGGCTGGAGATCCGCTAGACAGGACCTGATAACTTGTAACAAACTTTTTAATCAAGACATATCAATCAAATTCGTCATGTGAAGGTACACACTCTGTAGAGTAGTGTAAAGATTGATGCTGACAATGTTGGAATAGTTTACTGAAACTGAGAGGCTAGGGAGAGGCTGGAGTAAGGCGTGAGGCAAGTTTATTGTTTACACTTTACAGGTACAGGGCTGGTGATGAACTGACAAGGAGCAGAACGGGTATGACAAAGTTAACACAAAAATGAACTGTTTCTCAGGTGGTTTGATTCAAGAAGTCAGGCAGGATGTTGCAACATGGCTTCCCCACCCAAAGGTGGAGCCACGAATTTGTTCTTGACGTTAGTAGTACATGAAATCCTCTTCCTTCTTGAATTTTATTCTACGTCCAGTTCGAGATGAGAGTTTCGAGGCGTTTTCCGGCAGTGTTTCGCTGGCAGGAGTAACCTCTTCTGCCAGTACTTCTGGATCAACAACTGGAGGTTTTGGTTGACAAGGCATGTGTGCTGGTTTCAACCTGTCAATGGATACAGCTTGTTCCGCTCCGGTCGGGGTTTGTATTATGAACAATTTTGGATGCCTTTGCAGAACCTTGAAGGGACCTGTGTACGGTGCTTCCAAGGGACGTCGCATTCTGTCAACACGTACCCATACGTGACTGCAGTGATTCAGCTCGGTTGGGATGTAGGTTTTTGGATTCGAATGAATTTTCCCGTCAGACATTTGGTAAAAAACAATTTTTGACATTTCTACAGCTAAATTACGAACAGAGTCACTATTGAACATTGAATTGTCATTGGTTATCAAAGGATGAGGTAACAGTAACGAGGTTCCCGTAACGGCAACAGCGGGAGAAAATCCAGACTCATTCGGCAAATTCCTAATACTTAGAAGTATAATAGGCAAAGCATTCAACCAATTTTGTTTTCGGGCCGTGATAGCGGCTGTTTTTTTTAGTTTATAGCCGTGGCCCCTGGTGTTGGTTCTTGTTTCAAATTCTAGTAATCCTTCTGGGACCTTGTACAAGTCATAAATATACTTGTATACTTCAATGAGGTCCCCACGCAGACGTCGATAACTGAGGCTTGGAAGAATCATAATCTTTAATCTTTCCTCATAGGACTTGCCTTTCAAGCCCGGAACTATTCTTGTTGCGCGTCTTTGAACACTCTCTACTAAATTTCTGTCCTTTTCAAATTTCGGTGACCATACGACGTTTCCAAACTCTAGGTTCGGGCACACGACAGCAACAAACAACTGCTTCATCGTTTCTGCATCTAGGAACTCGAAAGAGCGTCTGATCAGTCCAAGTCGTTTATTGGCTTTATTAACTTGATCTTCAATGTGCTTAGAAAATTTCAACTCATTGTTGGTTTTGATTTGACCAAATTATGCGTGAAAGAGGTGACAACGCCCGTAGGTATAGGGCTATAGGCAATACAACATATTGCCTGTAAATAGCTGTGTTGTTTATATGGTCAATTTTATTTTTCATTATTTAATTAAGCGGTTTCAGCATTCATTAGGCCGTAGGCATGTCGCCGATTATTAACTTCGCAAAACATTTACAGCTTATTGCGGTCTCGAACACGCAATTCGCTGCCTCAATTTTGCTTTGCCTAACCGCCCAACCCAACTGGGCAGGTTGGCGCAGTGGTTACAGTTCACTGAGTGGCGCGGGTTCGATCCCAGCTCTGTGCGCCAGTTTCTGGTCAGAATCTGCAAGGAGGCCGGGCGGTCAAGCACAGCAGAATTGTAGCAGTCAGTTGCGAGTTCGAAACAGCAAAATGCTGTGAATGTTTTGCGATGTTAAGAATCGGTGACAGGCCAACGGCCTACTAAACGCGAAACCGCTATTATCATTGTTATAATTATTATAACCGCCTGGCCTTCCCGCCGATTCTGACCAGAAACGCGTACAGAGCTGGATCGAACCCGAACCTCTCTGCTCGAATCATGGTACTCTGTACTCAGAACTGTAATTACTGGGCCACTCTGTATTTAAGATTTATTTTGACTAGATGAAGTTATGCCGGTAAAAAAGAGCTAAGAATTCGTCCCTAAAGTTGTCCGAGCGGTCAATTAGGACTAAAATTTGGTCAACTTCAAAATTACCTTTACTAAAACTCATTAGTCAAAGAGCTTTTGACCTTCTAATGAGTTTTAATGAAGGTAATTTCGAAGATGACCTAATTTTACTCTAATCAGTTTGAAAATGTTTGTATGTTACATGCTGTCCTGGGCAAGTTCAAGTCCCAAGTATGTAAGAATAGAATAGAAGTGTCGGCACTGAAAAAATAGGCCCATGTTGCATAAGTTAATTCTAATGTATGTTGCATACGTGATGAATTTTATGTATGTTGCATTTGTTAATTCTAATTAATGACGAATCACGAAGTCTATTTAGAAATTGGATTACAATTACTTCTTCTAACTAAAGAGAAAAACTAAATGTGAGCATATAACCACGGGCCTATTTCTTCAATGCCGACACTTCTATTCTATGTAGATACACTGATTCTGGAGAATGACAGATGGCATGGTTGAATTAATACTCATACTACTAATTATTTAATTATTAATTCAACCATAGAAAGATGGTGTGAAAACTGTGAGCGCTTCTGACTTACAGTTTTCAAATAAAAATGTTCGTGGAATTATAAAAGATTTAAAATTGCGAGGGAATTTACGCTTTCCCTTTACCACATTCTAATGTTTCAGATTTTCACTTTCAGAGCTGTTAAACTGTTGTACCAATTAAACCCAGTTTAGGCAAGGGGCTTTATGGACTAGTTTCCATTGCTCCTTTAAGAATAAATAAGGCAGTAAAATTGCGAGTAAGCTGCTAAAGCGGCAATACCTGTTATGAGCCAGACAAGGGTGAACGTGTCTGAACTTTCATGTGAGTATATTAAATCTTAGAGTGTGCGTGTATTGACATCAGTATACTGTTTTCAAGAATGGCGAAGCAAAAAGCTGTTCTCGAATAACTTCTTAAGCGTTATGTTTGTGAACTACGCCCTGTTATCCTTGAAGAATTGAGTTTGTCCACACCTTGATCAGCGCCATTATTCCTGTTAGTGTTGCCTGATTTCGAAACTTGAACTAATGTTAATCGCGATTTAGTTGAGAATTCTTTGTGATGTTCCTCTATTAATACTTTTCATAGAAGAATTGATTCAAAACGTTTAAAATTACCATAAGTTTTTCGTGAATACATTTAATATATGATATAATATTTATTGTTTAGTAGGAAATCGAGGTTATGTCTTAGGAGTGGCAAAGTTTTTTCGGTACAACCACTCTTTCTGGTTTGTTGATTTTAGTTTGTGTGTTGTTACGGTGTAACGCTTCGGCTTTATTTTAGCAATGAATTCGGCCATCAGTGTTAATGAGTATGATGGAGATTTTAGGGAACCTGCAGAAGATAAATCTTTGCGCAATATCTCTGATGAAAATGACTTGACAATCTGCTCCCCAGGTAAAGGAGATACATTATCTTCAAATTTACGTGGTCTGAAAACTTCAATTTCCTCAAATTTTCCAAGTATTTCAAGCCTGGCGAACGCGGACATAATTGAGAGTGAAAATATTGTGGATAAAAATGAAATTGATTTGGAGGACAGTATTTCATCGGTTAGTAGTATTTCAGAGTATGAAGATTCTGACAACAATGAAGATATTGCATTTGATGGATTTCAAAATCAAATAAATCAAAATCGTGGATTTCCTTCCTCCTCTAATGAGGATGAATTTGAAGGTTTTAGTGTGATAGATCCTGCCGATAATAGCCTTTTAACTAGCTTTTTAAACAGACAGCAACGTCCTGACATTGAAAACAATGGCAATATTTGTTCAAATCCACCTGAATTGGATACCCTGACTGACTCTTCAAGCTCCAGCATTTCATGCACTTTTGAAGGTTTTGGTATGATGGAAGATACAAATAAGATGGCTCTAAGGCAGATAGAATCTTCTAAATTTGAAGCTAGGCCTACATGGAATAAATCTCCAACAAATGCCCATCTCAAGAAACATTTGCAGAAACAGGGGAAATTAGAAAGTCTTGTCCCAATTTCTAATGATCTAATTACTACCAATTGCATGAATATGAAAATTAAACCTAAAGAAGAAGTAGGAGATTTTATTGGTCCTTATTGTCAAGCAATTGGATGCACTGTGTCTTGGTTGGAAACTGATTCTCCAATGACATCTCCAGTGGAAGTGAATAATGCCATAGTTTTTGAGCTATCTGAATTTGCAAAGAAGATTGCTTGGGAAAGAGAATATGTGGCATATTGGATTATGCGCCTTCAAGGAGTATCATCGGAATCTTCAAGTGCTACTGAAGAAGACTTGAATAAGATAAATATGGTGGTAAAGAGAAAAAAGGCCATTTCAGTGACATTTTCTGGCAAAAACTTGCTAAAGCCTAAGCTTGCTGCTTTTGATGCAGAAAAATTCATTCTTCCTTCGTTAAAAAATTTGGATAACTTTAATCAAGATTCAGTGGAGTTTCCATGCAGAAATGATCAACTTGAATGTCCCAAGCCTGCTTCATGCAATTCAAATATTTCAAAATCAACCCAATTGCATTTAATTGATAAAAATTCAAAACCTAAAAATAAAGGCAGGAGAAAATCTGAGCTTCATACATCTAAGCTAGTCAATCCTCCAACTAAGACTCAGCACAGTTTTACTAATCTGCCAAGTGAACATGCCTTACAAAGTGATGATGCAGTCTTTAAGAAAGATGAAAAAAGCACTGAAAAATCTTTCATTTCTTATATTGATAATACTTCAGGAGCTTTAGTGAAGACTTCAGAAGCTGCTGAGAAAGAGCCTACTGCGAAGTGTTCAGTGGCTACTGTAGAAAAGGCTCTATCTGCCAAGGCTTTAATGGAAGCTCCATCTCATTCAGCAAAGACTTCTGTTGATGTTATAGAGATGATCTCTGTTAAGGCTACTGAGAAGACTTCAGTTGATGCTATGGAGAAGATATCAGTTGGTACTACAGAGAAAGCTGCAGTTGATGCTATAGAGACATCTTCTGATGTTGCTGGAGAGATGGCCACAAATGACATTGGCAAGAAGTATTTGGAAAAGATTGGGGAAAAGACCTTAGATAACACCATTAATGAGTCTTTTAATGTCACTGTTGAAAAGGCTTTGGATGCCAATACAGAGAATTTTCCACATGCTAATATGGTTAAGAAGACCTCAAGTGTTGAAACAAACATTGTTTCTGATATTGCTCTTGGAAAACATTTGAGTGTAACTCTTGAAAAAACTCAGAGTGCTGCTGGAGAGCAAACACCAGGTGAACCTGTGGCAAATGATTTGTCAGAAAAATCAAGGCAAGTGAATGTAAGTTCTATTTGCCCATCATCAAATTTTGTTGCTTCTAACCTTTTGTCCAATGTATCGGCCAATTCAATTCATGATTCAGAAGATCATCTATCAGCAAGTTCAGATGATGATCTAATTATAGATGAAACTTTACCTTCCAATGATGAGCATGGTAGTGAAACTTCAGCTTCACCTAAATCTTCCATAAATAAAGATGACATAGGTTCTGAAATGTGCAGTAATGACCACAATGTTCATTCTGCACCACTATCCATTGATAAACCTCTTGAACTACATCAAAGAGATGGAAATGGAGTTAATTTGATATCTAAAGATGCCACTTGGAAGAAAACATCTGAATTCATCTCTATTGAAACTCAAGCTCCAAAAACTGGTGTTGAAATAACTTCTAGTTCTACTCCAAGCAACAGCTCTGAGGTTATTTCTACCAAGACTATTGGAAATTCCAATGCTAAACTTAAGGCTAACTTGGATGGTGGTACAGCCAGTGCCCTAAATCAATCAAAAGCCAGCAGCTTATGTGCAGCTCAAACTTCTCTCCATGTCCTGAGAAAAGCTGAGCTGGCCAGAACTTCTTTTGGACAACACATTAAGTTTGCTTCAAAGAAAGGTAAAGCTGATTTCACTGGTAAGAATGTACAGTATCCAATATTTGAAGTGCGTGACAATGTCATAGGCCCTTATTGCAACAGAGTTGAGCTGAGTGTGAAAGCCCTCAATGCTCCTTCCAGGAAAATTCATTTGACTAATGGAATGATAATAGAGTTGTATATATACTTCAAAGAAAGGGGTGCAACATTGACATCACTTGTCCAAAAAATTCATCAATTGACAAAAACTGCGTTTGATGTCAACCTAATTCAGCTACAGATGGCAAAAATTCAAGAAGTTGTCAACACTGAATTGCAAAAGAAAACTGAATATTTCCTAGACAAAGAGTTTTCCTTTTTGTCTGAGGTAGCTGGTACCCCAAAATTGATGACAAAGCAAGTTATGAGACCAATTCCTACTCCAAAGATTGTGAAAAATCCAGCAATGATGACTAATAAAGGTCATAAAGAGCAACCATACATGAAAAATGTACCAAAAATGCAGATAGATGAAGTTCAGATGACTGATGCTCCAAAAGAGAGAATTGATTCTTCACTCCTTGCTGATTTTGAAAAATCCAAAGGTAAAGTAGGTGGCATCACTAGAGGAGACATTGTCAGCTTATATTATTCCTGGCTTCAGTTGAAAAATAAAGACAAAGAAAGTGTTTTTGTCATTGACTTGTTGAGTGATGTTGAGAAGTTGATGCTAGACAGAAAAATTGAGGTGATAAGGATACCTGTGGGGATGCTGATGTCTTCATCTGTCAAACTGTTTGAGGAGTATCAGCAGTATCGTGCCTCAAGCCCTGAAGATGCTTTAGCCTACTTGGAAGATGACTGGCTTGATGACATCAATTGCCTTCTTGCATCTTCTAAAAGAAGAAAAGTAGCTGATGAGATCCCCCATTCAACAACAGAAAAATCCACTGTTGAGGAAAACCCTGTCAATGCATTTGCCTCTGATAGTGCCTCTGAAAATTTTCATCCTCAAGAAAAAAAATCTAATAAAGGGTCTCAGAAAAGATTAGCAGATGTCTCGTTTGAAAACAAGCATCCAGAAAAAAGATCTAAGTTATCTTCAGAGAATGAGTTGAGTGATGATTTGTGTGAAGTTTACCCACCTCTTCCTGTCATAACAAGCAGCCATTTCACTGATCTGACGTTTGAATATAGAATTGAGCGAGTGGTTACCTGTAGGTTGAGCTACAGGAATGGTAAGGCTATCTATGATTATTTGATTGAGTGGAAAGGTGAATCTCCTATTGATGATACTTGGGTTGAAGAAAAAGATTTTCCTCCTGGCTGCTCATTTATTGCTAAATTCTGGGAAAATAACCCTGAAAGGAGGATCCTTATTGATAAAATTATGAGTCATAAAGTGATTGAGGATAGCCAGCAGACGACAAAACAATATCTTGTTTCGTGGCAAACATATAATAGTTCTTCATGGATCACAGAGCAAGATTTTGCACAAAGTTCAAGGAAATTACTGGATGAATATAACCAGACACACAATCTGGGAAGCAAACAAAGAGAAACAAACCCAGAGGGAACTGAAGACAGTAACCAACTTTCTAACACTGCCACTGTTCCATCTTCTCCATGTGCTTCTACCCCCAAGAAAATTCCCAAGGTGGGGATTGGGGAATCTCATGATGCTCCAAGCCAAGATATTGAGTTCACTAATGGCCAGAACTGTGACCCATTTGATGTTGGATGTAAATCAAATTCTATTGAAAGCACAAACACAGCAAATGTGTTGGAGGATTCTTCTGAAGCTACATCAGGTACTCTGTCAGTACCAATCGACTCTCAAAGTCAAATTGAAACTCAGAGTAAAAGTCGTATCTCAGATGCTAAAATCAATGCCAATGATTTGCAGCTACTTACTGATATTGTAGAAACTGAAGATTTAGAAAATGAAGGAATATCTGCTACAAATGCTGAGCCAGCAAATGAAATCAGTTCCACAAATGATTCCCAATCATCAGTTGACGTGTCGAGTAATGTTCAACATTCTGACATTAAGGGCTTAAACATTATTCCGAAGGCTAGAGAATCAGTACAGTTATTAGACAAGGGCTCTTCCAGTGCATCCTCTCCTTCTCAGCCCTCAAAAAAGTACCCTTCAAATGAATCTACAAATTTCAGTTTTAAGAGAAAGCCAAGAGAAGAGATGTTAACAGATGAAGAAAAAGCCAAGAAAATGGAAGTACTGAAATCAATTCCACTAATGCAAGTGATGCGGCAGTCAGAATGCATGCAATTTTCTGAGCTAGTGGTGCAGCATGCAATGCCTGAATATGATCCTGCATCAGCCTTGCATCTTGGTAAGAAATTCCGGCATTTTACTAATGGTAAGGTCTTGAGCATTTATGATGAGTGGAGAAAATTAAAGAAGGCAAAAGTTGATGATTCTCTTAAAAGTTTTCAAGCTCTGAGAGATAAGATTAAAGAATGTATGGAATCTGATGGTTTACTTTATGACTATGATGACTGTCTTCTTGGACTGTGTTACTCATTGTATCTCACGCGTTCACGTCTCGCTTCAATGACGGACCTAATGACTTTTAATTCATGTCCATGCATTGAAACCATCAAAGCCTTCAAAGCCAAGCACTCAGATGTTCTCCACAAATACTATAATACATCAGATAAATCCATAAGCTCAAGACCAGAAATAATAAAGGATAAACCTTTTTTGCTCATGGATAAATTCATGCACAAACAGAGTGTTCTTAATCAAAAGATATGTTCAGAAGCAGCAGCAGAAGCTTGCCAAGGTCTTGCAACTCTCAAGGAGAATCTTGCTGATTTGGATGTCAACAGTCTGGCTGCTATAAAGAATGATATTACAGAGTATGAACAAGGCTGTAACTTTGTTGAAAAAAAGTACAAAGATCATTCTAGTTCCTTGGATAATTACAACAAGGGAATGGAAAAACATGAAGCAAAGCAGGCACTGAGGAAGTTTGGCTATGTGAGACAAGAATTAAAGGACTTGTTATCATTGGTCGCAGAAAATCTCCAGCCTTGAAATACATTATAAATTGTATATATGTAAAGCAGCATCATCAGTTATTTGCAGATAATGTACAAAAGTGGTAAGTGAATGAATAGATTGTAGGTTTTGGGAAATTGTATTTTGATGTGTAAAGTTAACTAGTTGCATGGATTAAACTATTTTAAGAACATTGTATAATTTATGAAAAAATGCTAAAAATTTATACATTATTTCAATCTAAGCGAGATATCTACTTCATTTCATAGTCATCTAAACTGAAACAAAGTAAATTGTGACAAGATATGCTTCCTTCATTATTTAATTGTATATTGCTAGATGTAATCCTTGCCATCTTGAATCATTAATATTCTTGTTATGCTAGTTATATCATATTGCATACATCTAGACAAACGACTCTGATATACACTTGTCAAAAGTTTCTCTGGCAGCAGAGCCCTGGAAGATGGCTTCAGTTTATAATTTTGCGTGATTTGTGCATGTTGTGCACCTGAATGTTATTTCAATCTGGCTGTGAATATTATTTATTTTTTTAAGTTAACTGTTTATTATTTCATTTAATTTGAATGAGATTTATTTTGATTTGTGATAAAGTTTGTAACTACAAGTCAGAAATAGCTAGTACAACCATGTTTTTATTAACCATTCAACTTACTATTATTTGTTTCTTATTATCTCCACAGACCAGCCAGAATCTACCATCACAACACTGAAACACAATCCTAAGATAACTGCCATCCATATGATAAAATTACTCCACATGGGCCAAAGAATAATTGTATAAGTTAATGTGGTGCAAGTGGCAATGAAACTACCTACTGCAAATATTCTGATATTGTTCAAGGAAACATCATAGTGTTCTGTATTGCACATTGAACAGTCTTCAATCATCTTGCTCAGTTCAATTGTGTGAATCTAAAATATTGAACCATCACAATGGCTGCTGAGCGAGAGCGTCGCCCCAATGCTGGAAGTAAGATGGCTCGCCTGCTTGATGAGGAAGAGGAGGATGACTTTTACAAGACCACTTATGGAGGCTTCAATGAAGAAGAAGATGACAATGACTACAAGTAAGTTGCCATCAATTTAATAGATGTTAATGATAATGTCCATTGGTGAAGAAACAAATGAGGAAGAGTATAACTTGATAAATTTCAAAAGCATCAATTATTGTAAATTGCCTTTTTTATTCAATGTTGCTTAAGCTATTGTTGCATTTATTAATTACCTTAGAATGCAGTAGTGCTTATCTCCTCTTATCCAGTTTGTTGGATTTTTCCTGGGACACTTTTATGTACCTACTTTAAATCTTAACTAAATAAGGCCACCAAATTTTTTTGACAGCATAAGAAGTGTCTTACAGGACTTTTCAATATCACTCAATATCTCACTAAACTTTTTCTGGAGTTGTAATAATTCTGGCATATTCTAATGATCACATATATTTAATTTTTTTTACAAAACATCCTATAATGGTTTGGATGAAATTAAATTGATTTGATTGTCATGTAAGTTATTTTATTGATGTGGTGGAATACAGGTTTTTAGTTTTCTTTACCCCATCTCAATGACTTTCTCTTAATAAATGTTATCCTTAAATTCAGGTCCTAAGTAGTGAATATTTATAAAAAAGTAAGTGGTGAATATAGAGTATATATTATATATGTATAAAATGAGAAAAACTGAATTGTTAAATAATTTGATATTAAGAGAGAAAATTGTAATTTTTTAACAACTCGAGTTATTAATAGTCCCATTTCATTGACGTTTTTAATTTCAGATCTGAAGTAGAAGCTGAAGATGAGGTTGACTCGGACTTCAGCATTGACGAGAACGACGAGCCGGTCTCTGATACAGAGGATGTCGATGGCAGCAAGCCTCAGAAGAGAGGCAGACTCATCATTAAAGCTTACAAGGTCTTACTTTAAATAACTTGTCAATTTATCATCTACATAAATAATTTGTTCGTTGGTTCAAATAAATAACTTGAGTAGTGGTTCGAATAACTAGATGAATATTATTGGGTATTTTATGACATAAAACACCATGATTATTGGTGATTATGCAGTTGTTCTGCCAGATGAATTTTTCATATTGAGGGACCTTTGTGTATGTTAGGAAAATTCTTGTTCATGGTTTAAGAAGGCTTGCATCGTTTGGCATTACTAATCATTTCCTGCGTCGGAAAAGTGTGGCTAAACGGTTAGTCGTTATTTAATTTCTAAATTAATTTTATCACATTATTCCTGTTGTTAAATTACTGTGCTATTATTAGATTTAATTCTTAAATCTGAATATGCTGTTAATTTGTTGTTATTTTGTTATTGCAGGAGCCAAAACCTAGCCGAGACATTTCCAAGAAATCTCCTGTGAAGAAAAAAATGCTTTCAGAATCCCACATTGCTGCAGGTGAATCTGCACACAGTGTTGCAATATCTACATTAACTTCACTCAGTTACTGATTTCAGTTATCTTCATAAACTTATAGAGCTGTATAATACTTTCTTTGCTTGTGTGCAACAGAATAAATTTACTATTTGAGAGCTGAATTTATCACGCCACACTTCTGCCCAGTAGAATAAAGTAACTCATCATAGAGCTTATCTTATCCATTCCTGCCTGTGCACACTACTCTAAAGTTCCATTTGTGCATTTGCTCGACTATTCAACTGTTACCTTACTTTCTCAATCACTATAAAATTATCTGACTTATATAGAGTTGCATTAAATCATCATAAATGTTATTGCAGGCAACAAGAAGGCTATCCGCCGGTCCACCCAGCTCAAGTCAGAGGAGACCATCAAGAGACAGAAGGACCGGCAAATGGAAGAAACTAAAAGGAAAAGCAGGCGGTGAGTTCTCAACTTTATAGAAATGCTAAAAAGTTACTCATCTTGTCAAGGATGTTGAGGAATTCAACTAACCTTGTTTTACCAGCTGTCTATGATGCTTCATCCTGGCTTTCGAGAAAATAGAAATAATTTTCTGAGTAAAATGCTCAAATGCTCACCAAAGGAATAAAAATTTGTGATTCCTGCTATTTGTGATTGAACTGGAAAACATGCCATAAACGGATTGTTTTTTTTCGTAATTTTTTTTCTGACAAACATTAACTTACCATTAAACATTCTGAAAATCATTAACATATTTTTGTGATGGCTTTACCTGACCAGCAATGAGTTACTTCATTATAATTATAGTGATATTTCTGGCTGATAATAAACGTCCTTGGAAGGAATTTTAAAATGATCAATTACCATCAGTTGTTTGAATTGACGGAATTCAGTCAATTGATGATTATTGCTGATGTGGAATAGTGGTTTATATTTTGCTGATGATTGTTAATGAGCTCTTGATCGTGACTTTCTCATGCCCATTGCTAGTTTTATCTTACTTGTTTTTTATTTCGTTGCAGTTCGTCTTCGGGCCACGAGCCTCACATGACTCAAGAAGAGCTGCTGGCTGAAGCCAAGGAAACTGAGAAGCAAAACTTGCTCAGCTTAGGTGAGGAAGTTGCTGAAATATTATTGAAATCTCAACCCTAAAATTTAATTTATGTTCAGTTGTTTTTTACCTACGATCCATTTTGATTGTTGTCTTCATGCAATAATGTTTGAACAGAGCAAGTTTATTTAATTTATCACTTTTTTAAAGACATATAATTGCAAAAATTTTTACATATGATACTCATTATAATTTAACTTCACAAAATTTTTCAAAATCTTCTTTCGGATCTCAATCAATCAACCTAATCAACTTAGAATATTTACACTGTGCTGTTACAGTTGGCATTGAATTTATGCTTGACAGCACAGCTCGTATTAACTAATCAATTTCATACTAGATTGTAAATCAATGACCATTCTTGCAAAAGCACCAAAAGTTTTTATTTTCTGTTATTTTTGAGCTGACTTTATTACACAGTTCCAAACAATCTTATTAATTGTAATGGTGTATGGTATCATAAAGTTTTCTATGTGACAACCAATGCTTGAGCAATGATCACAGGTGTTTCTGATCAACAGAAAAGTACGAGCTTGCTGAAATGGATCGCAAGAAGCCCAAGATGAAGCGTCAGGGTCTGACAGTTCCCTTCATCCGCTACCACTCGTGCACAATGCCACTCATCCAAGACATCACGAGCAACAGCAGCACAAACCACGCAGCAAATAACGCTCTTAAGAACAGCAATAAGGATGATGACGGAACAGAGCAAATGGACACAGATGTGAATATTGCTGATGCTGAAGCAATGCTTGATAGCATCGAAGCTGAGGTGAAGTGCAAATTGTTTTTTTTTTTTTGTGAAATAACTTTGAGAGCATGCAGCTGCAAGAATGACATGTAATATTTTCCTTGTGACAAAATGTTCACTTGCGGCAAATGTAATTTTATGATGTATTATATATACCTACATTAATTTCGACAATTGTGAATTCATTTATTTATGTCCTTGGTTAATTTTTGCCACAAGCAATCATTATGCTTAATTGTTGATATTTTTATCACTTGAGATTTTTTATTATCTAATACCTAATGTATTCATTGCTCTCCCATTGTGATAGCGAGGCTAGTTATCATTTCCCCCAGCAAATCTTGGAAAATATCTCCATGTTAGTGTTAATTCATATTGTCCATTAAAGTTCTGAGTCTTATTTACTATTCATTTAATAATTTGTAGCCGTCCTTACAGACACCATTTAGCCAGCATGTAATTGTCTGTAGCCTTGTTTACAGACACCATTTAGCCAGCATTTAATTGTCTGTAGCCTTGTTTACAGACACCTCTTAGCCAGCATTTAATTGTCTGTAGCCTTGTTTACAGACACCTCTTAGCCAGCATTTAATTGTCTGTANTCTGTAGCCTTGCTTACAGACACCATTTGGCCACTGTTTAATTGTCTGTAATCTTCACCACAGATGAAGATGAAAGGCAACTCTGACACTGAGAATAAACGGCCCGTAATAAAAATCAGTGACCTGCGACCAGAGGAAAAATGTGAAAGGACTTTCATCACTTTTTCTGACGAACTCTCCTTTAGGAAGGCTTTTAAGAAGAACAAAAACAAGCTTTCAACTCGAAATATTTGTCCGATAACCAGGTATAATTATTTTTTGCTGGTTTCTGGGAAGGATTTTGAGGAAGTTTATTTAGAAAACCATATTTATATATGCTGCCTATCATGAATAATAATGCCTTTTACACGTACCATTTTTAAATCGAACCCGAATTTTACTATGAAATTAGTCAGTAAACACTACTTATTCACTCGCAAGTTGTATTCCTCTAATTTTATAGTACGTTTGAGGTTCGTTCCTGCTGTACAAAGTCTTTTAAGACATATTTCGGAAAATTTGAAGTGTTAGAGGCTTATAGCAGGGTTACCTTCTAAGTTACTAAATCAGTTCATCACCAATTACAAGAAATTTTCCCTATGTTTGTTTTGAAAATTTGATTACTCATTGTTGCTGATTACTTTTTAGCAATTGATTCTTGATGACAGAACCAGCATTGATATGTCTGTTATGAGATCTTAATTAACTCAACAAAAGGCATGAAATTTTGTGGCATTGAAACTGTGTTGAATTTCAGACTGCCAGCCCGGTACTTCGATCCTGTGACGCGGTTGCCATACGCCAGCGTGCAGGCGTACAGAATATTACGCGAGGCTTACTACCAGCAACTCGAGGACAAGGGCGACCCAAACTGTCCTCCAGTTGCTGCGTGGCTGGAGTACCGCAAGAAATACAAGCAATCACGCGCTCAGTCCGACCCTGTCACCACCGTCATGACTAACCCAGCCCCAGCTACCAACCTCGGGAACTATCTGGGCAACCACTTGGGCAACAATGCATTTAGTCAGGCGGTGCCTCAGGCTGTATCTATTAGTAGTGCTAACACTCAAACTACTGAGGTACTTTCTACAAATGCTGTACAGCAGCAAAATACAGCCAGTATTCAACAGATGGTCTCAAGTGTTGTGTCTAGTGTTGCTGCCACTCAACAGCAACAGCAGCAGCATTTGATCAGAAGCAGTACTGGTCTAGGCACTCTGAATGTGTCTACTGGACTCACTTCTCAGAGTTTAAATGCTGCATCTGGCATAACTGCCCAAAGTCTCTCAGGCAGCCAGGTTATTTCAGGCTCTGCTGGTCTTGCTAACCAAGGCTTGTCAGGGTCATCGCTGGCTGCGGCGCTCAGTAATCTCAGTCAGCAATCTAACCAGCAGCAAGCTAACCCTGTTGCTAGAACCATCTACCAACAGGTGGTGAGTAGTCGTGGTTCTGTGGTGCAGGGGAGTGTGCGGCCCCAGATGGTTGTAGTAACCACTGGCAGTGCAGGAGGTGTGCATCTAGTGCAGAGTGGTACTTCGGTACAGCTGGTGCAGAGCACTGCTGGTGGTGCAGTTCAGCTGGTACAATCAGGGACTGGTACAGTGCAGCTGGTGCAAAGTGGTAGTGGTGGGGGGATGCAGCTGGTACAGAGCAGCAGTGGTGGAGGAATGCAATTGGTGCAGAGTGGAAGTGGAGGAAGTGTGCAGCTGGTGCAAGGCACGGGCGGTGCAATGCAGCTGGTGCACCAGGGTGGTGCAGGTGGTACAGTGCAGCTGGTGCAGCCTGGACGCATCACATTGCGGCCAATGACAGGGCAAACCTTCACTAATTTACAGTCTCTGTTCAAGTGACCTCCACAGTAAATTTAGTAGCATTAGCAGTAAAGGTAAGCTTACTGAAGCTTCTCATTTGGCAAGTCGCCATCGCAAGTCCTAAGGCACCTTACTTCTCGATGCTAACGTTACACTTCATCAAGACAATGGTAGCCTTTTGTTTCAGGTCCTGTATTAGTCTCTTCATTTTCTTCATCAGGTCCTGTATTCATTTCTATTTTTACAAATCAATTCTGTCTTTAAAATACTTTCCTTGCGGTGTGTTCGATGAAAAATCAACGGCTAGCAATAAAGGTCTGATGAACACACGAAAGAAGTAATATTTAGGGATGTAAAGGATTGTGAGTGAATATATTGTATAGGTAAAAATTCTCATATTGTCGGTAGTCAAGTGATCTGTGTGCAGTGTTATGATGATAGTTCTGGCTTCTAGGTTAGTAGTTTTTTACAAAGTTACCGTGTATATAATGAATGTTCCTTATGTAAGAATGTACTTATGTTTTGAAACGTGGAAGAAACATTGGTTAAGATTAAGTTTTTCACTTGGTGCGCCTTTTTTCTGTACGATTTGCAATCATGAAAAAATTTGTGCAAAACTGGTGTACTTTCTCGTTGCTTAAAAGTTTAATTGTCAATTGTGTGTGTAGGATTCCAGTGTCATAGCCAATTCATGTTACAAAAAAATGGAAACCTAAAATTTAATTTGAACATTATATTTGTTGTATGTTTCTTCTTCTTTGTAGTGGAACGCCTTGCGATTAGGTTTTTTGTACGTTTGTACAGTATCCTAAAAAATTGCTTCAATTGTAGAAGTGAAAATTGTGTCTATGTCACATGAAAACAAGTTGTTTCGTAAAACGATCACCAACCTATATCTTGTTAACCTATGACTGGAAATTAACTCATCTCCTCAGCCCGTCTATTTACTGTGTTTCGTTATTCTTAATTAGACGAAAGTTTCCGCATTAGTTAACTAATTTAATGACAGCCTAGATAACGTCAACTCAATATTTTAGGCCCTTTTCATTTGTGTTAGTGTAAACTAGGCGGTGACGTACAAATGGATTTACGAAGCTAGAGTTAATATTATCTACTCTAGAAATTTGCATTCCTAGTTGTAAAATAATGTCTATTTCAGAATAGAATTGATCTGACCAACAATAATTTGTTGCGCATTAACTCATTATGCTTGATTAACCTCCATATTCACATTTTATTGAATGTGTAGGCTTTCAGTGATAATGCACCGCCCGGCCTGATATTTGTCATCAGTTTCGGAGAGACTGAGCACCAAGCAAGATAGCTCACCGCATTAATAGGCATGCATTGATATTCAGTTGATGTTGTTTGATAAATGTATCCACGACCATAGTGCAATTGATGCGTTCACGCGAAAAAATATACCACGCTGCATCGAATCGGTCAAACTTGACACAATTAGGGCTGGAGGACTCCACCCCAGCTGGAGTAAGAGTGCAGGTACTTGGAAAGGTTTTTATTGCCGGTTTTGACCATGGGAAATTTTTATAGCATGGATGGCCAATTTGGATTCAGTAATCAAGAAAGGCGCAATTGCAGATTACCTGAGCAATAGTGCGCTTTATTTAGCGGTAAAATACGGGACGCCTTCAGATAAATACGGGACGCCTTCTTATCAATATGGCCTGACTCTCGATTACATCTGATGCAGGCGCCCTCGTGTCTCTTTGCTACAGTATTTTCAATACTGGAACAACTGAGATTTAAAACAATCCAGTGGCGTTGTCCGGTATTTCAAGTTAGACTTGGGCAGTAGTTACTGTGATGCCAGTGCTTTTCTTTGTAAATTTTATTCGCTCGCTTCAAGCATACATTAATTATTATGATGTCGTTACGTTTGATCTGCGGGGGGTGGATATTCTTATCCAACAGGAGACTTGCTCTCTCCCAGACCCTAGCATTTCTCAGTGCAGCCCAAATGTGTCGTATCGGCAATCTTCCTCCGAGTAGACCTTCTTTTCTACAACGCAACCTTCCTCATCTAACCGAGATTTCTTTACCCAGCGCTGTCTTCTGCCTTCACGACTGTCATCCTTTTTCAACTTAGCCTGCCTTCCTTCTCCAATACAGCCTTCCTTATTCAACACTGACTTCCTTCAACACAACCTTCCTTCTCGAACACATTTCTTCTTCTCGAACGCATCTCTGCTTCTCGAACACATCTCTGCTTCTCGAACGCATCTCTGCTTCTCGAACTTATCTCTGCTTCTCGAACACATCTCTGCTTCTCGAACTCATCTCTGCTTCTCGAACGCATCTCTGCTTCTCGAACACATCTCTGCTTCTCGAACACATCTCTGTTTGTCCAACTCTTCGTCGCAACCACATATTCTTATTCTACGACGAACTTAAATTCTGAAAACATTCCTTGCAATCATGCCGCGTCGTTCAGTTACTCCTATATTAATATAAGACATGCAATTTTTCCTTCGGAATGTAAATGAGCAGACGCAAGAATAATCAACTGCAAACACGAAAGAGGAGAGAATAGATAATGCCAACATTTGTAATAAATGCATGTTATGCTCATACTATGCACTCAATGAAGCCATTCGGAGTTTGATGATCCTGTTTTGTAGCTCAAGTTTATTTGCAAAAAAAATGTGGTGACCGCTAGTTGGAATATAATTTCAATATACTACAATATTAGGCACATTGGAGCTAAATTTTACTTATCGGTCTCGTTCCGAATGAGGTCAAATGTAGTATTGAAGGATTCAATGGATATTTTATTTTTAAAATTCTAGTTAGAAGCAGGGTAAACTAAGGAATTATTCTGCGTGAAAGTCATGGAAATCAGCTGTGTAATGTCGCGTATGGAAGTTATAGATAGCATTTTCTATTCACCCATAGAACTGTAGCGAACTCAAGCGTTTGCTCGCATATACTGTGCGGTCACTTAGGCATCTGCAAATGGAAGTTATTCCCCGACATAGCTCCGACGCAGATAAGAGACACTTCCGTTACTGTTTCATTTAACAATATTTCGCCATGTTTTACAGTCTGATCAGTTCAAATTCGAACAAGTTTCTAGACATTTTTTCTATATTTCGCGATTACATAACTCGTGATGGTGGTCGTAGATATCCCCGCAGAATATGGCTACTGCGTTCTGGTCGCCGTGGGCTCTCAGTTCGTGCTCATGTGGAAGGCCGTTCAGGTGCGTACATGTTGTGCCATGTAATGAAAGTAAGCTTAACTCAATTAGTTTTTTGCGCATTTTTTCATTTATGCACTATAGTGCTCGCCATGTCCGTCTGTCCGTTACCTCAAGTTTTCGTCGACGAGAAAATGTGCTCTCTGTCACTCACTGCAGTGAGTACTGAGTTATATTTTTTATTTATTTTTATGGAAAATAAAATTAGATTTAATATCTTATTATTGTGTAAAAGGGAGGTAGTACAAGTTTTGAAGGATATTAAATTCAGTGAACGACTATTGTTGAAAATGTGTAATCGAGGTTCGAGTAAATGCAAGTAAATGGAGACACAAGTAAATGCAAGTTAAGTTGTTACCTGTTCTGACCATTTTGCCACTACACCCCTTTCATTTCGTGTATGTACATGTATTTCTGTTTAATTTATAATTTAAATTCGTTCACTCGTCTTGACATTAACACGACTGTTGGCAGGTTGGCAAGATGCGCAAGAAGTTCAAAATCTACTACCCTGTGATGTACAGCCCTGACAACGCTCTCTTCAACTGCTATCAACGCGCACACCAAAACACGTGCGTTATATCTCAGCATCACTGCACTCAACAATATTATCTTCATTACTGTAGTGAAATATATCTACTGTCTTCATTACAGCTAAATATTTTAGCGCACATTAAACTTTTATAGAGTAATTTTGATGCAATTTTTATTGGCAGACGTCTTTCTTGGCGGATACTTCAGGGAATAAAAACCAGTTTTTTTCTGAATGCGTGATTAATTCAATTCCTAATTACTTTATTAATTCATGTGTACCTAAATTAACATTTGATTCTGTTAAACTTTTGAAATAATATACTGTATTTTTGTATCTGCAATATGTATGGCCATGTGTACGAGTTGTCAATATATATGGACCACATAATCAGGAGGCCTATACAATTCTCAACCGCTCATAATAATATCCACTATTATTGTGGATAAATTATGTATGCCAAACTGACGAATTTATTAAGATACCAAATGCCCCAGGCTGGAAGTTTACCCGCAGTTTCTGACTTGCCTGACGTTGGCGGATAATACAACACTCAACTGCTCCTAATAATTCCATGCATTACTGTAGCTCTATTATGTATCGCGAAGTGAGAAATTTATATTAACACCACGCCCCCTACAGGCTGGAAGTGTACCCGCAGTTCCTGACGTGTCTGGCGTTCGGGGGCTTGTACAACCCGACGATGTCGGCAGCAGCGGGGGCCGTGTGGGTGGCAGGCCGTGTGGCCTACGCTCTCGGCTACTACACTGGCGGTGAGACTCTTAACTAGTGCTAGTTACGATAATTAATGAACTTCTTAGCATCTAATTAACTTCTCTGGTGATGACTCTTAACTGGTGCTAGTTACAATTAATGAACTTCTTAGCATCTAATTAACTTCTCTGGTGATGACTCTTAACTGGTGCTAGTTACAATTAATGAACTTCTTAGCATCTAATTAACCTCTCTGGCGTTGAGACTCCTAACTAGTGCTGGTCACAATAATTAATGAACTTCTTAGCATCTAATTAACCTCTCTGGCGGTCAGACTCTTAACTGGTGCTAGTCACAATGTAGCGGGATAACTACGCTCCATATACAAAGTTACTGGGTCTCTGCAAGCGGGCCCTAACTTACGAGTATGAATGAAAACCGGTTCAGCAAATTTACAAAGGCCATGAGGTTTACTTAAATTTCATGGAAAACTGGCATCCACTTCACAGGACTATCACTAAATGCATCTAGGTTTACAAACACAGACATTAAATGGACATTAGCTACAGTTATTTACAGTCATTACAAAGTGTGGTAAGTCAGGTAAAGGTAGGCTGCCTACTAGCATTCTGCTGTTTCCCTAGACAACTATCTACGCATACTTATTCTCGTCGGTCTTCGTTAGAGAGGTGCGGCGGCTGAAGAAAACTAATAGCGCGGCCAAAGCTGGCCCGCTACAGCAATAATTAATGAACTCTTAGCGCCTAATTAACTTCTCAACACCTCGTTAACACATTATTAAATCGTTGAACCTTTTTAATTAACATGCGAGTACGTTAATGTTGGGTAAATTATTATTAATTGCGGTCGACACAAATTATTAATTGCGGTCGACGTCAAGACTAAGCGTACCTACTCAGTCCAGAGACAATTGGTAGTATTACTGGTCATCTCTATGAATATTAATTATTCATTTGTATTATAATTGTAGGGGATCGGTTAAGGTGTAACGACGGTGTATATATTATTTTATTTATGTATGAATACGAATATTTTAGTTAATAAAGTATATATCATTCATGCAATAACTGTTTAAAATCGGTGCCGTTGTCTGCATGCAAATATTGCACACGTGGAATTAATTGAATATTGTGTGAGCAGACCCGAAGAAGAGGATGTGGGGAGCCTTCAGCTACGCAGGCTACCTCCCCCTCATCTACTTCTCCGTGCGTCAGGGCGCCAAGATGCTCGGCTGGTTCTAAGCTACATAGCTACCTGCAACCCTTGGCCATAGCCTGTACTGATGCATTTCATATCGGCAGCAAAGGATGTTGCTTCTATTCTTTCTGGAAGTTTCATTTACTAGCAACAAAGGAAGTTACTTCCATTCTGTCTTCATGCATTAGTATCAACAGTATCAAATGATGTTGATTATATTCTGTTTTGTGGCATTTCATATCGGCAACATAGGATGTTGCTTCTAATCTTTCTTGAAGCTTTATTTACTAGCAGCTAATGATGTTACTTCGATTATATCTTCATGCATTTAGTATCAAGAGAACCAAATGATGGTAATTATATTCTCTCATGTTGCATTTTATACCTGTAACGTTACTAAATAATGTTATTTCTGATGCTGCTATCTTTTTAGGATTTGAGTAGACAATTAACCTGAAGGAAATAATCTGTTAATGCATTCAAATATTCCAGCAGATACATAAATGGTCATACTTTTGCTGCAGCGATCTGTTCAGGTACCTGTTATGAATTCACACCAAGCAGAAGGTAGACTCTAACTCAGTATCGGTTCGGACAAATCTTCGCTGATAAGAATTTTTTACAGCTAAAATCCTTCTAACAGTTAAAAATGCCGCTCATTGAATCCGTTATTGGGTGTATTTATTGATGAAAAAAATGGCACATACAGTCATATGAACGGTCAGATAAATAATATACGTTTAAAAATTACTTTTTAAAGACAACACTTCAAAAGAATCCAGTAATCTTAGAGATGTACAATGAATTTCTCATCTAATTTCCAAAAATTAAAAAATTAATTTTTCAATTATTTTAATATATATAAATTTTTTAATGTATAATTTTTTTCAAAATTAATTATTCTGTTAATTAATTCATGCATTGCCTCTGACTTCACACAAGTGCGCAAAATTTCAGATCAATTAGACAGGTAAAAGTGTGTCAAATATCAGTTATAAGATTTGGAGCTGACAAAATTATTTTTGAAATTTTCTTAATTTTGAAAAAAAAAATTTATTTTTAAAATAATTTATTTTGACATTTGATTCATGCATTGTCTCCAACTTTACACAAGTGTGCAAAATTTCAGATCGATAGGATAAGTAGAAATGTATTAAATTTCGATTTCAAGATTTGTAGCAGACAGACAGACAAACAGACAAGAAGTGAAGTTAAAGAGAAGTGTTGTAAATAGCTAATAGGTTTCTTTACACTGCGGACGTTTGAGGACATTTGTGTCCGTGATATTGCTTCTTCGAACGCATGCTATTCCATCTTTCCCTTGGTATAAAAAATGGCGCCCTAGCGACTCCTTTGTTCGTCACGTGCCAAACAAACGATTTGAATTGAATTTCTAAGTGCTCTCAGATACTTTACATTAATGTATTTTGTTATTTGACAATAATATAGGAAAGCTGCTGTTATGGGAAATGTTAATTAAAGGTTTATGAAAAGATCCTTTGGCGTCGTTTTATTATTTACTATAATGTAAATATGAAAAATATTTTTGAGCGAGACGACTGGTTTTAATGGTTCGTTCAGGCGGAAAGCTTTTACATGCAAATATATTTTTCCGGAGACGCTACGGCTAGTTTTTTGCCTCGAAAATGTAACGCTTTCTGAATGTAATTCTGATTTATCTATTTGCAAAGTTTCATTCGTTCATTGTGCTACCAGATGAGATCAGCTGACATACCAACTATTCTGTTCTTTCAGTTCTACCTTACACAAGTAAAGTCCTGATTTAACAGAAAAATCAATTGAATTATTTGAACCGCGTTCCAACTCTGCCCAGAAAACTTGGTGAAAATTCGGTTGTTGGTAATCCTCTGACTTACAGAATTAAAAAATTGCTTCACAACCATGAAGCCTATCGAATGAGTGAGGTGGAAGGTCTCAATTATTCATCACCCACAAGGGGCAGAAGGTCTCAGATGTCCAGCCCGCTGAAGCTGGCTCGAAAGAAGCAGCGTTAGCATCTCAAAGAGACGAAGTGACAAGGAGGGACAGGTGACAACAGAAACGAAGACACTCGAACAAGAGGTCGCTTACACAGGACGTCGGCCTCCCGCACGAGAGACAGAGAAGGGAAATGTAAGGAATCCTACCTACATAATAACTTAATGTAAGGAATCCTGCCTACATAATAACTTGACCCCACAACTGAGACCTACAGTCAGACACCGCGAGCTCAGCGGTGGGGCGCTCAGGAACAATCCCCCTAGGAACGCGAAATCCCATAGAACTTCTGACGAGCACAGACACCCGTCAGAAGTCCCACCTGAGGGGCGAATGAGTGCATTAGGGTGAGGTATTATTGTTTGAGATCCTCAAATTGGATAGACAATAGCAATGATGGTTTTGAAATATGAAATTAAGTGATCGTAATTTAGTTGTTAACCACACGTCGGCCCTAAAGAATAGAAAGCTGGATGTAAGACAGAAAAATGAGGGTCTCTTGAGTCACTGTACTTTGGCGCATATTGTGCATTTTTAAACCCAACGATTATGATGAAATAGCGACTACGTCTCACCACTTTGATAATATAGCTATTGGAAACGCTGAGAACTTGGTTCTGTGTACATTAATTTTTATAAGCTTTACCGAAATTTTAATCTGATCACCGAGAGAAAAGTTGTAGTGGCGGGAGTGTAGCGAATTAAACACCTTATCAGCAAGTGCGTAACAGAAAATAATCAACACCAAAATGTCTTCTCATAGTGTGTAAGTAAGTGAATACTTCGACGATTACTTAAACTGGAGCGAGTCTTATTAATAATATCTTAATAATTAGCTGAGCTCCGAGGTCAAAAGGATCTTGACGAGTCTATTGTAGATCGGCAATCTGCGTAGCGCGTTGTTGAGCTCAACTGTTGGTGACAAGATACATCTTATTTCAGATGAGAGACAATAACCATCTATTGCAACAAAGTGGCACAGGTATATTTTGTCTTCAAAGTGATCGAGTTCAAGGAGGCTAATTGAGTAATGAGTTCAACCGAGGCCTCCTTGAACTCGAGGATCGAGTTCAAGGAGGCTAATTGAGTTCAACCGAGGCCTCCTTGAACTCGAGGATCGAGTTCAAGGAGGCAGAAATGGAAACAGGCTTGAGGTTTTAAACACCAAGATATCACTCCAAGGAATTTCATAATTATTACATTTTATCAGTCTGGGCATTCACGGGAGCAATATCGAGTTAGTTTCAGATAGACAATCAAATTGAAAATAAAATTGCTTTTCTTGCCGAGTTTGTATCACAAGCATTGAGTTCCAATAAAAATATATATACAGCATACGGATCTTCAACCGGATAGGTGAAAACTTTAATAAAAATACAATTCCTCAAATAAATCATATACATTGTCATTGGCATTCAAAATGTCCAATTTGTTGAACGGCATCAAAAGATTTCTTGTAAATTTCTCTGTCTAATGTCGATTTTTTATTGATCAAGACCCAACCACGGGCCATTATATTAAAATCCTCAGTCTAAAGACGTGAATGGTTTCTTCTATCAGAATGTAAAGCTGCAAGCACGGCGCTGCTCACCTGGCGATCCATAGAGCGCGCCCGAGCGCTTGGCCACGAGGATGACTTGCGCAAGTCTGTTGACGGCCTCGACTTTGGTCTGCAAGCGCACCTCGCAGTTCACAGGCGCACAATCCACGTCCATTTTCTCGGGATCCAACAGCAGCAAAAGACCTTCCATGATCACCGTCACTTGCTGATAACTCAGCACCTGCCAATGTCGGAAGACCTCACAATTGACAGGAAAATCATTTCAGTATCACTGTGTTGTACGAATTCTGCCTAACCATCATTTACTTTCATTATCAAATTTTTTACTTGATACGAAAAAGAACTCGTATATAATGTAAGAGTTTGAAATAATGTTCCGAGTTGCGTAAACTAATTCAGTTCCGCAAAGGTGACTCGAGTTGGTACCCAACAACTTCCATGTATCTAATGCAAACATAAAACGAGCATCAACTGTCATGCTCGGTATTTCCAAGCGTTAGAAAATAATACAAGACGAGTGTCCAAATAGTATAAAAATTCAAACTGAAATGAATAAATAGTTTGAACTAAACTGAATGTATAATTCTAATTCAACGGAATAATTCTAACTGAACTGAAAAAATAATTTGAACTAAACTGAATGTATAAATCTAACTCAACGGAATAGTTCTAACAGAACTGAATAGGTACATAATTTGAACTAAACTGAATCTATAATTTTAACTCAACGGAATAGTTCAAACTGAATTGTATAAATAATTTAATAATTTGAACTAAACTGAATGTATAATTCTAACTCAACGGAATAATTCTAACTGAACTGGAAAAATATTTTGAACTAAACTGAATGTATAATTCTAACTCAACGGAATAATTCTAACCGAACTGAATAAATAATTTGAACTAAACTGAAGGTATAATTTTAACTCAACGGAATAGTTCAAAGTGAATTGAATAAATAATTTGAACTAAACTGAATGTATAATTCCAACTTAACGAAATAATTCTAACTGAACTGAATAAATAATTTGAAGTAAACTAGATAAATAAAATACTTTAAAAAACTTTTTAAAAAACACGTTTTTCTTGTGGACTAAAAAGTAGAAAATAAATTATGGCTCGCCCCAAAAAAGTGTGTCGGGCAGATTTATGATTAAAGCGAAAAAATATACTTTACTCAATTAAGCTAATTTAGGTCTCTAATTGCTAGTTTTTATGATTGTATCTGAAATTGTTAGGCGAAAATAGCCTGCATGCCGAAATTCAGATCTCTAGAGCAATCAGAAGTGGGCTAATTTTCGTTGTCAATGTTAACAACAAACAAACAAACAAACGCGAAGCTAAGCTAAGAAAAACGTGTTAATAATCTGAACTGAACTGCAAACATAATAGTAAAGAAGGCTGTCAGTGTAGACACAACGTACGTGGTTGGCGTGCGGTGGCGTAAGTACAGCTGGAAGGCACTGGAGGCAGCGCAGCAGGCACAGCTGCAGGCGACTGTACAGCTCCTGCTCCTCAGCGCTGCTTCCTGCCTCTGCTGTGCGCTTGTTGAACACGTCATCGACGTCGCGGGCAGTGGCTGTACATTTAAAATACATTGGCAATATGCATTAAAAATACGTGAATGATGTGGCGGTGCATTAAAAATACGTGAATAATATGGCGGTGCATTTAAAATACATTGCTAATATGCATTAAAAATACGTGAATAATATGGCGGTGCATTGAAAATACGTGAATAATGTGGCGGTGCATTGAAAATACGTGAATAATGTGGCTGTGCATTGAAAGTTACATGGATTATGTTGCTTTGCAGTATAAATACGTAAATAGCTGGTCTGAATATCGAGAAATATGAGTCATGAGGCCAATGTAGGGATTAGATTCAGAATTATCATTCAAAAATACAAACTCACAGCTAGACTTGATAAGTAGGGAGCTCCGTGGCGGGGAAGAACTGCGTAGAAAGAAAGGCGCCTCCACACACAACCTGGAATATAATATAATAATATAGATAATATATTAGGTATATAATATAATCTAAATAATATATTAGGTATATAATATAATCTAACTAATAAAACTGAGTTGTATCAGGTGGCTCTAGTGTCTGACCTGGGCAAGTTGATGACCAGTGAGAATGAACAATAACTTTGTTATACAGCACTGTGTACACATACTTTCATGGAATATTATAGAAGTGAATAATAGGTATAGCTGTACTTGCGAGCCTAATTTAAACGGAAATATTATAAGTGAAAGGGAGGTTTAACTGCATTACAAACCCAATTTAAAAGTAATATCGTCAATGAAAGTATGGAATAACTGTATTTGCACACTAAATTTGCGCACCTTAGTCAACGTAAATATTTCATATGAAAGTTTTTTCTTTACTAACATTTAATTATCTTAAGAATATTCTACAATAAATATTTATAAGATTTGTAATGACATGAACCTGAGGTTTTTTTGTGAACATTTAATTATCTAAAGAATATTCTACAATAAATATTATAAGATTTGTCATGAGACCTGAGTAGCGGTGCAAGTGCGGTGACGGTGGAAGGTGGTGAAGAGGGGCCCAAGAGTCCCCCAGTGGAGGTGGTGGAGGGGCTGATGGTGAGGGGCGTGAGCAGCAACTCAGGAGGGGCTGATGTCAGCCAGCGCACCATCAGCCGCAGCACTGACACCGGCGGCCTGCGACAGCTTGTCAGCGGTGAGCTGCCTATACACACAACATTATTAATACTTAATAGAAAAATTGAGTTAGAAATTATACATCATATGCATTTAGAGCATGAATATATCATAATATATTACAATTTTATTATTATCAATATCATGAGGGCTTGTGATAGTTTGTAAGCAACAAGCTGAGCTGCCTGTACACACATCATATGCATTTATGATCATGAATATATCATGATATATTAAAATTTTATTATTATCAATATCATGAGGGCTTGTTCATGATTTTGATATTTTTATCAATCCAACCCAAAAAAATACTGGCAGCCAACATTCAATTGTTTTTAAATTTTAGATGTGTTAAAAATGTTGTACGCTTTATGAAAAATAATCATGGCTCCTAGAAGAGGATTTCTCTTCTCAGCTTATGTTAAAAACTTCGAAGTAAATTTGTATGCACAAGATCGTCAGGATAAAAATGCTGTATTATCTTCAAATTATAAAAAATGTAGTAATTAGAAGATGCAAAAAATGAGACAGTATAAGAACTCAGAACTTCACTATCTTTTATTCTACTTGGAATACCCTTCTCGAACAATTGGTAACAATTAGATGGTTAAAGCTGTTTGAAGACATTTATAGATCGGTAAGAAAATAAATGTTGAGCATCATCATTCAATTCCGAATAGCCAGTAAATGCTAAAGTTGACAATACGAATAGCCAGTGTTAGACTATAAAATTTGATCAAAACCCTCGATGTTCGCAATCTAAAATAGAGCAAGCTGTTCATAAAATGGACTCTCTTTCAAAATAGAAACATTTGTTGGGAGCAGAAAACTCCATTATTTTTTATGATGCCAAAGTCGGACAAAAAGTTTTAAAATGTAACACATTTTTGCAACTGAATTCGAATTTTAACATACATGGAAACTAAGTTAGGAATCCCATAAATCGAATGACGAACTTTTGCACGGCAAATGATCAGATTCATTATTTGCACGATGAAGCATAAATTCTAAATAATTTCACTAAAGTAATTTGAACATACATATAAACTTTTGTACACTCCACTATAGAGACAAAATTATACGAGTTTAAAATGGACATGAGTATAATTTGAACTAACCTAGTCTGGCATAAATTTCAGCCCAAGAAGTGATGATGCAGCTGGTGAAGAAGGGTGATGTAGTTGGTAAGTCATCAAGCGGGTGAGATTCCGATGCTCCTTCTTTGCTAGAACTGTTCAGTTGCGGGACTGAGCAATATTCTGCCATGAGCCGCTTACTAACTTGGCAGCACCAGCCACTCAAGCAGCAAACTTCCTGTTGACATTCATGTTGCTTTTACATTTCGAAACTTCTTAGCTATACGAAGATATTGCAATGAGATAGCAGACTCCAAATCTGTGTTCCACAAGAGTGGGAGATTTTTGCACAAGTGTTTAAAAATATAATTGAACAAGGATAATTGGAACAACCTTTTTCAGAGACAAAAGAATTTGATTTATTAGAGCAAAATTTCTTACAGCATGGTTCATTGGACTGGGAATAGGTTCAATTAACGTCTGTACGCTTGATTTGAATAGTATATGCTGGTGGCATCATAGAGCTAGGGTTTAGCAGAATTATGAATACGGTACTTGTTTATTGATGGGCAAAATAACAAATAACACATACACAAAAATAAACAATACCACATTTAATACATAATAAATAAACAATATCACAAATTCACATTTAATATCACATAATGGCAAGGCAAATGAACTAATGACTTATCAATTGAAATGTAAAATCAAGATAAAACAACAATTAAATAATGTAACGAAAGTAAAACAGCTCAAAATTTGAGCATTCCACAAGCTTGAGAATGCACTTGTAATTTTTTTTAGATAAAATTACTGCAATAATTCACACAAGTTTAAGGGATATAACAATAAACACTAGAACTAGCATTTATGCTGAAATACCTACATAAGTGGCAGTTGGATTCTCTGCAACACGAAATACATTATAAATAAATTGAATAATTACAGCTGCAAGTCCAAATAATGAATGATACATAAAATATATACCGGTGTAACTAGGTGCCTATATAACATCTCCATTATTTGGAGATGCATTAGTGAACCCACCACCTTTCCACCACATTAGTAAACAATGAAAAATTTAATGTAAATGCACAGGGTATGGAAGAGATCATACCTGCATCCAAACAGCTAGCCGGTCCAGAACCTTAGCATTTTTTGTGGCGACGGCTAGTGACATCAAGGACGACAGAGTGTTGAGACGATTAGCTATTTTGCTCTCCGGTGAATTAGCTGAGCGAGCATATGGATTGCTGCTGCCTTTTATTGGCTGGCCAGGAATAATTTTTTCATGAGCAGACCCATATGGATTAACAGGTGTATATTGTCTTGTATTAAAACTATGTGCATTGCCAGCATTAAAATAAGGATTTCCATTATTTGGACCAGTGGCATTACTGTAGCTATTGATTGGACCATGAGGAGTTCGAGAGTATGGATTAGTTGCTTTTGTAATTGGGAACACGTTGCTGGCTTGAGGAGGAGACACATCAATGAGAGATGGATGGAAGAGCAGCATGACAATGGCATTATGTACGGCAGGATCAGTGCAAGTCGTCAGATGTTCACACAATATCCGCACCACTATTAGATCATTGATGGGCTGGCACTGGATCTGCAAGCAAATAAATACATTAAACAGTTTGAATTGTGAATTAATTAGTGTGTCTAAGAATAAATGCTCATCCCAGATTTTAAAATGAGAATCTCCTTGATCTCTGAAGAATGATAAAAAGTATATAAGTCAAGTCTAACCAGTTGAATATTTTTAAAATTCTACGAGTTAACAGCATTAATAAAGTGCTCTAACTACCAGCAAGCAAGGCAAGAGTTGGTTTTCTGCTGGACAAAATATTAGGCAAAGAATTTATACCGGAAGTTCTGTATCTCAAATAGGTTCAAGGCCTTTCCAATATCATATGATGAATCTAGATGGCATTGAATAAAATTGATGGCACTTGCTTTACAATGGTAGATGTCAATTTTTACATATTGACAACTCAGTGATGGATGATTCCTGGAAAACCATATTCTTTTAACATAAACAGCAATGACCTGGTACAGACACCAGTGAAGACTTCTAAGGAAGTAGAAAGGATTATCACAATGAAATGGTAACAACATTTGGAATAGATTAAACCAGATCCTTAACTAGTTGAGTGCACCACATCTTGATTAGAAAAATTTCTTGCATTGGCATCAGAATTTAATGCCACAATTTGACAATGATGTCTTACTGTTAAAATGCATCTACAACAGCCAAGTTAAGACTGTTTTTTAATGAAAGTTACAAATTTCTATGATAAGAGAACTTTACCTACACAGAACAAGATGGTAAAGCAATTTGACAGTCAATTTGAGGTCAGTTAGAAGTAGAATAATCCATTCTAGTTACTTATTGCATTGATTTAATTTTTTAGATAGTTTAAGAAAAGAGCTTTGGGCCCCATTATTTAGCAGAGATCTTGGGCCTCATCAATTAGGGAAGAGCTAAGCTATCGACTGTTTGGTGATAGTACTTCAAGTAGTAACTGGATAATAGTCTTATGATCTCATCCCTTGTATCAGTGAAACTGGAGCAGGAGCCCATAACAGTAATTTTTAGTTACCTAGTATGATCAGGCTAGACAACTGTGTGGGTCAGAGAATATGAATTTCAAGGAGTTCTAACACAACTTCCTAGTAACAGTGGACTCAAAAGAATGAAGATCTTAATTTTACAATTACCTTGGAAGATTTTCCTTTCTTTTTGTCAGCATTTTGAGTGCTCAGAATGAAATCATCAATAATGTGTTGCTGCAGAATTGCTATCTGTGGGGCTGGACTGCCTTGAAGACTTTGTTCTGAGAATAGAAAATTCAACAAATTACAAAATGTTTACAGTTAATTAAATGTTTTAGATAAATTAGTTAAATGTTTCCTTTTTGTTTTGTTGTTAGTTAAATGTTTTTCAGTTAGTTGCAATATAGACATATTGAATAAAATCTCAATTTCATTCATTTCTAATAGTAAATGTATTTTAACATACATTAATAAGGAGATTTACAATTAAGTCTTTGAGCAGTTAAGTGACTGATAAAGGAAACTGAATATCTGCCCATGGCAGTATAACTAAAGCTGATTGAGTTGACCTTAAATTAAGCATTATCCAGAGATTCTTTAATACATCTAATAGTATTCCATTAAATGCAGGCTTCAGCTGTGTTGTAGGTTTGCATCAGTCATATGGATTTAATTAGAAGTTTGACATTTAATTAATGTCTACATTTTAATTAATATCATTCTAATTAATGTCTAATTCTACATTTTGATATGAAAATCTTTATCATCTCTATTTAGTGGGAAAATACTAGCAAATAAAAAAGTTTTTGGATGCATTTGATAACTATGCTAGAAAATCCATCAGAAATCAAAGAGCAGGAGAATAACTTGTAGAAGAACCAGCAGAAACTGCACATACTTCACTGCCCACTACTAGAAACCAAACTGCTCACTACAATACCAAATGGTATTGCTAACTGGTCGCTGGTCAGATTTACAATTTTTAAGGTTTAATACCCACATGATGTCTACAAAGCTGTTTTGATTGCGCTAAAAATATCTGATTCAATGTATTTTATACCATAGATTGTAATATTGAAGGCTGGCTACTTTAGTTCTGCTGGCAAGGTTATCAGCATTGTCAGTAGATCAGAGTCTTAAAAATGGTCTGGGTACTAAAAAATTTCTTGTTTCATACTATGCTGAATAGGAATGAGCATAAATATATGATTATTGTATTTCCAATGGTATTTACAAATTAGCCCCAAAATTTCTAGAAAAACAATAAATTATTCCTTTAGGTTGTAGTAAGATGGCAAAAGTCAGCCACAACAGCACAACCTTGTCTACACTCACTTTGATCTTTTACTTATCTTTGACATAAGTCAAACTTCAAAGTAAGGAGTTTGACACTTAATATGTCAGCTTTTGACAAGAAAACATGTAAATTTAATTTGACTGACAGACTCACTAAAGAAAAGTTCTGCACTAATAATGCAACATAGTACGTACCTAATTTCCTCAATCCCAACCTCACATTGTGTGGGAATTCTTGCATTTGTAGATCATGTAAATCAACTCCTGCCATATTTCTCAGCCAAAGCAGCAGCAGCAGCAGCAGCAGCAGCAGCAGCAGCAACAGCAGCAGCAGTTGTCTTTGCAGTTATGACAATAAACATGGAAATAGACCACAAAACTATCAATTAAGGCCAAATGAATTGTGATAGGACTTTGTTGGTTCTTCTTATTTATTCTTGTAGTAGCACTGGAAACTGGTCCCTTGCCTTAACTGGGTTTAGTTGGTGCCTAACAGTTACCAATCTGAAAATCTGCAACACACAAAAAATAAAACAAAGTTTAAAAAGGTATGTAGAGAACAGTAAAATAGGAAGAATATAAAAAAAGTAACAAAAAGGACAAAAACAATACAAAAAATGTTGAGAGAAGAAATGAATAAAACAAATGAAATATAAAAACACGGTACATGACAAACATGGCCATACATTTAGGTAGAGAATAGGCACAGTGCATACAACACTGAGGATCGGCATTAGAGATCACATTGACAGTGTCTTTTTCAAGTTAGTTAGTTATAGTATACATACTTTAGTTTAGTTTAGTTACCGTCAACCCGGGCTACTCGGGACGGTTTTGAGCGTTTTTTGTTAATAACTTCTTACCATGAAACATTTCATAAACAAGTTTAGGCTCATTTTATAGCTCTTTGCGAGGGCTTTTGTACCGTCAACCGGGGCTACTCGGGACGGTTTTGAGCGTTTTTTGTTAATAACTTCTTACCATGAAACATTTCATAAACAAGTTTAGGCTCATTTTATAGCTCTTTGTGAGGGCTATCGAATGGCATCTTCAAAAAAATTCCATATACTATTTGTAAGGTGCCAGACTCAAAAAAAAAAAAAAGAGTGTCCCGAGTAGCCCCGTCGAACGGGGCTACTTGGGACACTTGCAATAAAACTTCATTTTAAAATATTTGGAGCATGCAGAGTGTACTCATCCATTACTAACAGTACTCTGAAGTCCTCCTCTTTCATTGTAGATGATGTAGAGGTAGAATAAATGACATTTTCTGTGATTTTTACTCGTTTTTCCTTTATTGATATATTACCATATACATTGATTACCGTAAAATGGGGTAACTTTAACTCCTGGGGTAACTTTGACCACTTTTCGTTTTTTTAACAAAAACCCCCAAAACTAAAAAACTATTTGACATAGACAAATTTTGTCAATGGGCATTAAAGGCCTAATACTGGGGCTACATAACGCAATAGAAAGATTTTAAAAGTTTGCATATCTAATAGGTTAAAAAATTAAAAATGTGACACACGAAAAAGAGCTATTATTTAAAGCCTGTCAGAGTACCACCTCCCAATGGGGGAACTTTGACCACCTAATGTCAGCCCTGACGGGGTAACATTGACCGGCTTGATAATTAATTTAAAATGACCATATATAACATTTTATGTTCGATACACCTATTAATGTATTTTCTTTATGTTTCAGACTCTACAGACTCTAATTATTGTTAGATATAGAGTTTAAACTTATTAGTATTGACCTTAGTTCAAGATGCCTAGGACCTACAAACGTCCAAAGGGGACTTGTACCTACCAGAATTACAGTGGAAATCTTGTTGATCAAGTAGTGCAGAAGATCAAAGACAAGGAAATAAGTTTGACCAAAGCTGCAAAGCAGTATGGCATCGGCAAATGTGTTCTTTTCAACAGAGTGCATGGAAAAACTGTGCTTAGTCCTGGACAACAGACTGTTCTCTCACAGGTAGAGGAGGCCCTTATAGTGAAGAGGACACTTCAGTGCAGTGACTATCGCTTCTCTCTCCAACCAATGGACTTATGCATCATAGTCAAAAGCTACCTTGATTCAGAAGGGCGCACCGTTCCCATGTCTTCTATGAATTTGCCAGGCCCAGACTGGGCCCAGTCCTTCATTAAGCAGCATAGTGAGATCAGAAAGAGGGTAGCCAATGATACAGGCAATACAGGAACAGTTAGCTATTATGTTTATTTCTGTGAAATATGTTCAAAAAATGGAAATTTTTTGCCAATTGCATGCATTTTGCTCAAAAGTTAATATTGTATTCCCTGTTAGTGAAGATAAATAAAGTGTATTGTTAAATACTTGTGAAATTATTAACATTAGGGACAACTTAAACCAAGATGGGGTGACTAAGAACACCCAATTCCTCGCTCTTCACCCCAGATACGCACCAATCCCGTTACCACCCAGCTGCCACCATCTGCAATGGCATCATCCCACTGGACAAAACCCCCAAAATCCTAGGCATCACCTGGGATACACACTTCACTTTCTCCCCGCATGCAAGAGCCATAGCCACGAAAGCGACGGGTTCTCTTCGCATATTAAAAGCCCTTGCTGGCACAAACTGGGGCTTCTCCAAGGAGGACATAGTTGCCACCTACCGTGCCATCACGCGCCCAATCCTCAACTACGCGGCCCCCATCTGGTACCCTGTTGCCTCCCGTACAGCAGTTGCCAGCCTGCAGACCATACAGTATACTGCATTGAGACTAGCCACCGGCTGCCTCAAAATGGCCCCGATCTCTCATCTGCACCAGGAGACCGGCGTCCTCCCTTTGCCCCAGCACCTGGACCTGGCCTGCGCCCAGTTCCTCGCCAGCGCCCTCCAGTCCTCCCACGCCTCCTTTCGCATGGTTTCTGCCCCTCTGGGTGACTGCCCTATGAAAGTCTCAATACAGTCAAGGTTCGGCCATCTTGTCACACCACTCTTGACAAATGGTATCCTGCCTGCCGGGACATACGGAGAAGCCAAGCGGTCTCACTCCCTCGCCCCTACCGCTCAGCGTTATCCCAGCTCCGCTCGGGATACTGCAGCTCCCTGGCGTCCTATTCCGCCAGGATCGGACGCTCCCCTAGCTCCGCCTGCCCAGAATGAGGGGACTCCCTCAAATCCGTTCAGCACCTCTTCGTCTGCCCCACCTTCCCCACATCTCTCAGCGACTCCTCACTGTGGGACAGCCCCGTGGAGGTAGCGGCTTTCCTGGCCACCCTCCCTGCCTTCGTCCACCTCCCTCCTCTTCCGGTTCTGGCTCCCCGCCCGCCCGGCCCTCCGGCGTGCGTGATGGTCACAACCAACAACAACAAGAACACCCAATGGGGTTACTAAGACCACCCAGTCAAAGATATCCCCAGAGCTGGGGTAAAAAATGCCATCGATTTTTTTTAAATTACATCAAAACTATGAGAGGGAGGAGCCAGAAATTTATGGTGAGTGAAGCTAGAGTACCGTCAACCGGGGCAACTCGGGACTGGCGGGGCAACTCGGGACGCACCTCTGGCATGGCGTAAAACTGTTATAGTAGCGAAACTAATTGGAATATTGCAAAACTAAATATAGTGGCGTAAACGTCAACATTTTTCCTATCTATGTAGTATAAAGGCAGTCGAAAAATACGACATTTACTAGCTTTGAAAAAATTCCTGAAAAAAATGGTGAAAAACACTGTTTTGAAAAGTTACTTCTGCTAAGGTCTGTGGCAAAAAAAATATTCGCCGTATTAAAAAATTTTACTTACATAAAAGTTGCACCCAGGTGTTGGCTTGAAAACGTAATTGGCAGATTTTGCCTATCTCATTCAAAAAAAAAAAAATGGCGGCCATTTCCACACGGCGAGGCTACTTTCCCCCGGGGCTAGTTGGGACCCCTCCAAAAACGCATTTACGGTAGAACCTCAGTTAGCAAAAGCTCCAATTACAAAAAAAAAATTGATTAAAAACAAAGAATATTGATCACATTTCCCTTGCTCAGCGAAAAAATTTCACTTATCGAAAAATTAGTGCATCATCAGTCGTCACAAAATTGTGCATAGCATGTCATGTATAGAATTGTGCACCAGGCATCATAGAATGAAAAGTAATTGCCCTAATCTACAATTTATTTCTCCAAAATATATGATGGTTGTCACTAAAACATTCCTTTCTGTTTCAGGTATGTTTTTCACAATCTTTTTTACTATAGTAAATTCACTCTGTCTCTTATACCACATCT